TTTCCTGATTTCCCCATTCTTGCCCACAGGGATGGGATTTGAATGTAGAGCACAGGGCATTAACTACCCATCAACTTCCCCACTCAGCCATCTTCTCAATTTAAGGCTACATCAGGTGTTCCTGGCCTAGACTCAAAACTACCTCCATCTTTCTGCTTAATGGCCCGACACCTTTGACCTCGTGCCTTCCAGAAATATGAGTCCTTTGCTCCACCTGAGCCTACTTGAAGGGCTGACACCCACCTGCCTCCCCCTATTGAATCACAGACAGCTTTGCACCCTCCAAGTTGGGGTAGGTAACAACTGCAATTCCTGCAGCTCTCATCTATCCCAACTGAAAGTCCAAAGCAAGCTGGTTGCATGGAGACTCTGACAAGCCTACTCAAGGAACCAAAGGATGGGATGGTGTTCTGTCTCACCTGTGACCATGAGGTGAGAGTCCAAGCCTCCAAAGGAATATAAATAAACAGACAGGACCAGGAACGATAGAGTTAAATTCCTTTGACTGGAGAAGTCCTTGGCAGTCTTCCAGAAGCTGTCTGCCAAGTCCGATAACAAACAAGACCATAAATCAAAAGGCGAACGCCGCACAATTTGTCAAGCTGCTATTCCGAATAAACAAATTGTCCCGAACGAGGATTCAGAGCTAACACACCCTCTTTTATTTCCTGAGGGGCGTGTCAGTCTCTCAAGTTAGTCCCTGATTTGTTCTTTCTTTTTACGTTGCATTTCACGCTTATGCCTGCGTCTTTGCCTTGCATCAAACCAGCATTCCTTGGCTTGATCCTCAGCCAAGGACTCCGGCACTCTCTCCTGATTATCTGCTGACATCTGAGGCACAACCAGGGAGGAAGGGGAGGAAGATGATTCTGAATCTTCCAGCAAAGCAGGCTCAAACCTCAAGGCCAAATCCTCCTCTTCCTCATTACTTGAGCCTGTGTCTTCTCGCAGAGCAGGCTCAAGCCTCCAAGTCACAACAGGATGGGATGAGGGGAAAGAAAAAGGAAGAAAAGGAAAGGCATTTTTCTGAAAAATTCAGTCAGAAAAATGATCTTTCTTGAAAATTCCACCTACCGGATGATGGGATTTTTGCAAACAAAAGCTTTCCCTGGCTGGGAATCGAACCCAGGCCGCAGAGGAGAAAGCGCCGAATCCTGACCACTAGACCACCAGGGAAGGACAAGGGGGCCTTCATCTCTCCAATTGCTCCTTGGAAGGTTCATCAACTCCAGCCTCAGGTCCTGCAAGTGGGAAGGTTTGTAAGAAAGCCAAAGAATCTCTGCCTTTGAGACTTTCACTTTCTCCTTGGTTGGAGAAAGCTGGGCGCTTGCGAGGAGACCCCTGTTCTACCGCCCAGGCTTTCAGACAGGCAGAAGGGCCAGGTGCGAGCGGAGAGGATTCCTAAACACTTTCTTTAGAGCATACAACATTGTCAAGGTTGCCAGGCTTACTATGGTCAACCCCGAAGCCAACATGGCTGAGCCTGTCTTTCAGGCTTCAAGGTTGCCACAAGACGGGTGTGCGTGTATGTGTGTGTTAAATAGCTTGGCTTTGCAGTCAAAATAGAAAGTTTTCTTGTGGGAACCAAGGTCATTCTAGCAGGTGGCTGAGGAGTGGAGTAATCAAGCAACCTGGCAGCACTTCTATTGGACAATGTGACCGATGACCTGAGGGGGAAGGGGGAACTTTCACTTTTTAATTAGGTGAAAACTGTGGAAACTTTTCAGAGTCGGTTTATCACCATTTGGGTCAATATGACGTATCCAATAAATTGTTCTTTGGGGAATCTAACTGCCTCAGAGTTCTGCTTTCTATGAGTGGATTGACTTGGAATGCTGACAGCTACCTTCCAGCTGACTTGCTGAAGATTGCAGCTCCCTCTTGACATCTCTCTGAAGGCCTATAGGCCGTGGACTGGCAGTGGTTGGGGGCCCCCTGGTGTAGGGGCATCATGAAGAGTTGCCAATCTTGTAACTTGAGTTCAAGTTGTGGTAGGCACATGCCTTCTATCACCTTTTACCTTTCTAGGATCCGCAGGCAGCAAAGCCAGACAATGTCTCCCTCCCAGCGGGAGGAAAAGAGCCATGACTTCAAATGGAACAGAAGTTATGAATATCAAAAGAGAACCCTGGCACCAGATACGAGTCTTCGGAATGAGGGAGAACGGTGCCCTTGAGGGTACCAAGGTGGGATCTGAGACTTGGGACTCTTGTCTCCTGCTGTAGATTCAGATCTTCGGGCAAATTAGTTTCCTCTCAGCTTCTCCACGTGGTCTCCTGTTAAGTGGGCGTTTCAAGCTAGCATGAGATGCCAAAACCCTCACGTAGGCCCTTCCAAACATCTCATGTTTGTAATTTGCAATCGACCCAAAGTTCATTAAACATATGACTGAAAAGAAACCATACCAACCAATATGCATGCATAAATTACCTTCCTACTCCAGATTGGAAAAAGCTTAATTCTAAATCCTGCCTGTGGTTTTTGTAGGTAGGAGGTTGCAAAGAAAAAAGTAACAGTGGGGATTAAGGAAATTTAACTGCCCTGTCAACAACTCTCCTGCCTATTAGTTAATAATTGCAGGTTCCCCGATTGTTTGGAGGAACTGCATCTGAACACATCCCTGCTGGGTCTCAGGATGAGGAAACTCTATCATCATTTCTCCCTTTAGAGCAGATGTGCGGAAGGAATATAATCCTCCATCCCTTTCTAGAGTTCACATTGTTCTTCCTTTCCTTAATACTGTTACAATCTACATTTCCACCCTCGCTTCTCATTATGACAGCAAACCACAGCAAATTCTGGGGAAGAAATTTGATGGAGGCTGAATTGGAAGAAGAAATTCAGAATCTGTGGCCTATGTTGTGAGGGTTTCTTCTTTGCTTGTTCAGCTTTATATAAGCGTGAGGGAAAAAAAGAATTTAAAGCATGCTGGGATTCCAGTTGTGGAAAGGGAACTTCATGAGGACAGTGGTGACACCCAAGCAGGAAAAGCCCAAAGGGAACATCAGGCCAGCCATAAAACAAACTTGCATAGGAAAAGAGATTTAATAAAAGGTATTAGAAGAAGCCCCCTAGACAAAAGCCAAGTAATTAAGAAAGCTAGGGAAACAAGAAAAAGAAATCCCTTACAAACAAAAGGTCATGCCAAATCAGCAAAACAAATAGACAAAAGACACGAAATAAATTCCATAGCAGACAGGAGATTGCCAGGAAACAAATAGAAAAAACCATGATAAAGGTAAGAGTTTAAGAAAGAACCGATAGGGCAATCAAGCCACCCCGCAGAGTTATTTTCCACACCTCGCTAAGTATGCCTTCTGGCGAAAATTAAACTCTGACAGGATTTTTTAATATCTAAACATTAAACATTAAATACTAAACGAACATTCACACACAAAGGGAGGAAAAAAGGTATAAAGAACCAGGAATTCACCATTCAAGGTTAGCTAGCTAGCCCCAGGAACTCAGACTTCTTGCTATCTCTTGCCTTCCTGAAAAATAAAAGGAACCCGCTTCCAAGCAGTTGTCTGTGTCCTTGCACCGGAGCCCTCCCAGCCGGAAAATCGAATCCTCAAAAGAAAGGCATTTTCCAGCCTTTCAACACAGTCAAGTATCAGCTAAGGAAAGGGATTTTTGGAAACTGGAAATATAATTGGGACAATCACTCCAGGAACGGTGGTAGATATCTGCCACATTGAAAAACGCTGCAATTTACAAAGGAGTTACTACTTCATGAGGATGAAAATAACGGAATGTAAACTGGGAATGTTTTTTCAGTCCAAAGTGTCTGTATCGGAGATTTCTCACCATAAAGCTCTGGAAGAAATGTCAGAGGAAGAGCTCTGAAAAGGAGCTACTATTTAGAAGTGCTACAAATGGACGTGCAAAGGCTTTTCTCCAGCGAAAGGTCCCAAATTCTGATTTTCTGTGAGGATCTCAACCAAAATTTAAATGGGTTCTATTTTGTTTTACCTGTAACCTTAAATTGTTCCCAAAGTGCTGTATCAAAGCACATTAATAGAAAGTTATGTGGAAGGGAAAAGTGTGGAAGAAAAGTTGCACAAGTAGCAGGGATGACTGCAGCCTGGAGAGGATTGTCAGGAAAAGGCCGTTCAAAAGTGTTGGGGACTAAAGAAAAACAGAACTGGTCTGTTGCTCAGTGGTCCAAAGTCCTCTTTTCTGATGAGAGCAACCTTTGCATCTCATTTGGAAACCAAGGACCCAGAGTCTGGAGGAAGAATGGAGAGGCACACACTGCAAGATGCTTGAAGTCCAGTGTGAAGCTGGTGTTGGTCCACTGTGCTTCCTTAAGTCCAGGGTCAATGCACCTGTCTATCAGGAGATTTTGGAGCACTTCCTGCTTCCTTTATGGGGAATGCTGACTTCATTTTCCAGCAGGACTTGGCACCTGCCCACACTGCCAAAAGCACCAAAACCTGGTTCAATGACCATGGGATTACTGTGTTTGATTGGCCAGCAAACTCACCTGACCTGAACCCCATAGAGAATCTATGGGGAATTGCCAATAGAAAGATGAAAGACATGAGACCGAACAATGCAGAAGAGCTGAAGGCCGCTATTGAAGCATCCTGGTCTTCCATAACACCTCAGCAGTGCCACAGGCTGATAGCTTCCATGCCACGCCACATTGAGGCAGTAATTGCTGCAAAAGGGGCCCAAACCAAGTACTGAGTACATCTGCATGCATATACTTTTCAGAGGTCCGATATTGTTCTATGTACAAACCTCTATGTAATATTCTAATTTTCTGAGATTGTGGATTTAGGGTTTTCACGAGCTGTAAGCCATAATCATCTCAATTATGACAAATCACGGCTTGAACTATCTTGCTTTGCATGTAATGAGTCTATCTCATATATTAGTTTCACCTTTTAAGCTGCATTACTGAAATAAATGAACTTTCGCACGATATTCTAATTTTTCGAGTTTCACCTGTACAACCTTAACATTGATGCCTTCTCAATGTCTGCGCAGTTGCTGAAATCATTTGCCTACCCAGTAAAATAAGCAGGACAGCTGAGAGGCAGAGGCATTAAACGTAGATGCTCAAAGCCAAGAGGTGTTAAATGCAAAACGAGGTGTGGTTGATTGTGTGACCGCCAGTATGGAAAAATGAATAGAGCTTGGACATATTTTTTAACAGCAGGCAGCCATCTGTTAGAAAACAAACTCCCCCTTTGGTCTCTCCTGGTGTGGAGACTGAAGCCAAAGCCGGCATCTCTGTGGCAAGGGAACAATTCTGTTGCGTCAATCTAGCACTTACAGGGTAACACCCCCCTGCACCCCCACAAGGGATGGGGAGGGAGCCCCATCTGTCCCACAGCAGCTGCTACACCAGAGAGAGAGTCAAGGGGAGGCCTGTGCCAGGTCTCTGTGGTGCAATGGGTTAGCGCGTCTGGCTGTTAACCAGAAGGATGGTGGTTCGAGCCCACCCAGGGATGGCTGCGGGTGCCACACCCCCTTGACGAGGTGGCCGAGTGGTGAAGGTGATGGACTGCTAATCCATTGTGCTCTGCACGCGTGGGTTCGAATCCCACCCTCGTCGGCACTTTTTCCTTCTGGTTGTGGGATTTTGGGGTGAAAGGATTAGTCCTGCTCTGTATATTGGAAGGGTGAAAAGCCAAGCAGTGTCGCTATTTTTGCAGTTTTTGTGCTCTTTCTTCGGGGAGATAATTGTTGTGCTTTCATTATTGTGAAGTACCTCAATTTCTATTGTTCCCTCCAAGTCCGATTTTAGGCTATTTTTTGGAATATTTTTTCTTTGACAAGACACATACAGAACCAGCCCCAAATATTCTCTGTTGTGAATATTGTCTTTTATCCCCCAGTATTTTTCACAGACAACTATCCAGCACCAATGAAGATTGACTGCCAGGTTGAATTGTAGAACCCAAACCAGGTTTAAATGTCTGGCAGCATGCTAACATACATTGACCAAGAAGGCACCCAGTTATTCCTATTAATCATAATGATCTCATTCGAATATTTATTGTTTTTAATTCTGTTTTGCAACAGACTTCTAAACCATCTCTGGATTTTTGGCAAAAAAAATCCTTGTGTCAAAGGACTTCTACAAGTAGTCCTCAACTTTCCACCACAACTGAGCCCAAGATTTCTTTTGTTAAGCAAGGCAGTTAAGTGAGCGTTGTCCCATT